TGTACTCTTTATGAATTTTCTATAATTATTTAGTGAAATGATACACAGAAACGGTATGTTTTTCTTGGTATTTAGAGGATCTTGATGGAAAACAAATAAATGAACTGTCTAGGCAGTTTCTAATCAACTGGAAAGCCTCTAAAGACGCAAAGAAGAAATTACAGGATGGAGAAGACATCAAAGAACAAATCCCAAATCAACTTACAAGTATGAATATTTGCTGCAATTTTTTTCTTTACATTTTTATTCAGTTATTTACAATTATTTCCACGAATGAATAATTGACAATGAATTATGTCAAATATATTATTGAAGTATGACTTTACATACTATGAATAATAGTGCCCTAACATGTCACTGTTATTTTCATTCATTTAAATTCATACTGAATTTCTGTGCTGAGTGCACTGCAGTGTTTTCAAGTGGTTAAGTAAGCCTTGCATATCCCTTGTGTCAGTTTTATGACAATGTGTGACTAACCCGTGTTTTGCTGTAGCTGATTTTCGCGTGGGCCCCCAACATCCCTTTGCCCATGACCGCAGCAGCTCTCTGAGTAAGCCGTCAGAATATAGGAAGCATGGGGTTATATCTCGGGCAGATCAAGTACAAGGAGACAGCAGAGGAAGAAGGTAAGAACAATTAAAATTGTCTGTGCTATTAACAAGACTCCCTTATTCTTTACATAATCTGCAGCCAATGAAAAAATATTATTTATATTTTTATATTCTATTTTTTATTATTTTGATCAAATATTTACAACTCATCTTATATTAAAAAAAGGAAATAAATTCTGAGATAAATGCTATCAGAGTAAAGTTGCATGTTGCCTTCAGACATGATGGATAAATGCCTGCTATTTGTCAAGTTGTATGAGTCTTATTTTTCCCACCCATGCAAATAAACAGCTTTCTCCTTTAGACTGGCCTGAGGTTAACCATAGTTCTGTGCTGCGCTGTGTAATGTGACATCATCTACAGTTGTACTGCACAAATCATACCCTTTTGATGTCTGATGTCCTAAACGTGTTAATCCTATAGTTATCATTTCAGTTGATTTACCAGTGTGTGGCCTCTGAAATGCAGAAATGATTTGTTGATGTATACAATAAATATGAACTGAATGTTTCTGTACTTATAAGAAAAACTGCAACGAGCATGGGCACTAATGTGTGAGTAATAGGAATGATAATGCTGAATGACAGTTGTTTAAAGCCCTAGTTAGCTGTTTATGTTATTATAGGGGTCCAGTAACAGAAGGATATTTAGTCATAATTTACAGAAGCTTTTTTTAAAGCATGTGTGCCAGCATTTTATTATGTTCTAGGCTGTTTTTATTACTATTAATACCAAGCACAAAAGCATGAAAGTCAACAAATATTGTGGGGTACTTTTGTGGTAATTTACAGCATTTGATTTAATTGAATTCATGATTGTTCTGGTGTGTTCACAGGTCAAGAGGGACATATATTCCAGTGAGGACAGGCAGACTCTGAAAATCTGTGTATTAGGACTTTTCTAGAAAACGTTCAGTAAAGCGCTGACACTTTTATAAAATGTGAATTTCTGAGCAGCTTCTCCATTGTGTAAGAATACACTCTCTTTTACACTGCCTATTTTGCATTTTCATATTCTGTTTGAAATTCTGAAATTGTGTGTTTGTTTTTAATAAATTTACTTTGCAAGATGCTGAAAAGTATTTTTAAAATCATGTTTTGTACATTATTTTTTAGGATGTAAAGATATATACATTAGGTGATATTATTCATTCAGTATAATAAAAATATGAAATAGATTTAAAAAATGTTGGTTACATTAGGTAAGAGCAAAACCTCAAACGAGATTTTATGTGTCATTGAAAATGTCTGAAATTGCAGACATGTGTAGTTTAATTTATTTTTTATCTTTTTTTAGGTTTGATTATGCTTTTAGTTATTTGGTAATTACATCATCAAACATACTTTTTGATTGTTTTGGGTATTTTTCATGTTTTTATTTTTTAAATATTTAATATATTTCTCTGTTGGAGTGCTTCAACAAATGAATGCTCCAATCTCACTGCATCATGCTTTAAATTAGCTAATGAAATTATCTAATTTAAAGCATGAAATTGCTAATTAAATAAGTTTAAAAATAAAAGCAGTTTACATTATAATTGCGCATTTATCATTTAGAGTCATACCTTTTTTTCTTTTTACTGAGGCTTCATTTCAACTTGCACATTATCCAGCAAGTTTATCAACATCATTGACACTGCGTTCTAGACTGGAACGGTATTCATATGAAATATAAAACTGATTCTATAATAACGTTTATACGCGCTGAGTACAGTAATGCACGAACACAATTCCTGCGTATAATATACTAATATCTACACCAGGGTATAACCTCTGAAAGATGTAGAGTAATTAGACAGAGAAGCTTACTTAACCTCATTTGCTCTGCTTCATAATTATTGGCCTGAGGGCAATACTGTTACTTCATCCTTACAAAAACAATGTTTATTAAGAACAGTCTCAGATATACATGTTATGAATAATTCCATTCATTAATTCTCCCACATCTCCGTTTGCGGAAAACAGAATGATTAATTTAGGAGTCTCAAAAGAATTTCCTCAAGCATGCCAGTTGATTGCAGTGTTTAGAGTTTATTTATTGGCTTTGTCCCAGGAAATGAAGCTGATGTCTGCGGCTCAAAATTATAATATCAATATCCCTTTCAAAATGTTAAAGTTAAGAGCACCGTGTAGATGATCTGATAGAATCTGTTTGGCAGCTTAAAAATAGAACGCTTGGGTCTCAAAAACCACAATCATTTTCACCAAACAAAGCCAATCAAGAGGAAATTGGTATTTATTTACTGAATAAACAATATTTCATATAATATTCAGAAGTTGTGGTTTGCAAAGCAACTCTGGGTGGACCGAAAAATGCTGCCTCTGGCGTCGAAAAATGGACTGTGCCCTCCTACCGACCGATGCGAAGGGAAAACAGTAGAGAACGGCTCGAGTTGCCAGAGTTGTAAAGGCTTTTGATTAATTGCACCGGAGTGAACACTTGTCAGCTCTTAGTGTTCTCCGATAAATTAGAGGCTCAGGAGACTTTACGCAGTCATTCAGGTGAGGACAGTGCGTGTGCGCGGACATATATCCGTGCCTTTCACGCGCAGCACCACGACTGGTTATATATATTTTTGCAACGTGAGAGAGGCAAATCTGCTTGAGAGAGGCAAACAATTTGAATTATTAAATGCATGGGTTATATATTGCAATTTCATAAGGTTTTTCATCAAACGAAAACTTTGTTGGGAGCGCTCTAGATATAAACAACAAACAGAGTAATCTCTTGGTAGTGCTTTATATATAAACGTGTCATAACGTATGCAAGAGTTAAACATCAATCCGACTGCATTTTATCACACCGTAGCGCGTCAGACTTCAGTAATACACAACACGCATGTGCTGCTCGTACTAGGAAGTTCCCCTTTAAAACGCGAAGTACGCATGCGTCACATCCTTTCTTCCCAAGAGTGGAAGAATCTGGTCACAGGTCCTACGCGTTGCAGGTAAATGTACTTCAAACTATTATTGTGTCGATGCAGTTTAACAGAAGTTAAAGTGTTACTGCAGCTATTTGTAGAACTGTTCATGAGGTTATAGGCTCGTGTAGAGGTTTTTGCATCCTGGCTTTGCCACTTGGTTAGTCAGCACGCGCGTTACATAGAGAATAATTTCTATAATCCTTACTTGTAACGTCGTTCGGTAGAAGCACAATTACTCTTTATTAACTAGAATTTTAAGCATTTGCCCCTTATTGCAAAAGCATTGCATTTTATCAATGGATCGTTAGGCACGAATCTATATCTCATGAGTGGCCTAATGAGGATCCTTGCATGAACGTTAACGTTAACTGGTGAATAAAATTACGTATGTCTCAAAAGTCGCCTTTTGCAAAGCAAATCAGCCCAAATATACTTTTACTGTCAAGTTCTCATTTTCGAAATGGGATAATTATTATCCCTTCTGGGAGCACACTCAATATTTTAAAGGTGGCTGTTTCTACACAAATTGACATGATTTTGCCCAATCATGTTGTAATCATGGCCTATACTAAAAGATTTAAGTATCCCATGAGGACTGTTATAAATCATTTTGGCAGGCGAGTGTCCCAGATCTGGTGATAAATTGCTCATTTGCCCTTTGCTCTGCTGTCGGCAGGACTGTGCTCTGCCATTTGCTCTGCTGTCGGCAGGACTGTGCTCTGTCCAGCATAGGTCTGCCGTCCCGTGTGGTTTGGCTGGTTTGGGAATGGTCTTCTATGCCCTGGATTGGGTAATCAGGGCTTTGATTCTCTTGGAGGTGCTGTGGTCTTGGTAAAGGTCCTGACCTTGAGTTGAACTAGCGCTGCCCTGGCCTTTGTGCCGCTGTGGGAGGGTCTACTCTCAAGCTGTGTTACATGTGCCCTTTGATCTCTAGTTCATCAGTCATCTTTTTGAGGTGGAAGTGAGTTATTTTTTTTCTTTTATACTGACTCCTTCCTCAGCACTGCTTATTTGGAGCACAAAATCAATAGCTTAAACACAACATGGGTAATTGGTGGTCATTTTTAGAATGGTCTATTCCTTTTTCTTTTTTTCTTTTTCTCTGAAGATTTGGAGAACCTGCAGAGCTGAAGCTTAAATTATAAATTTAAATCTATCCTTTTTGTTGTTGAATAACAAAGGAGCCAGATGATCGCTGCAGCCAATGGAAGGGATCATGGCATTTGCCACTGGAAATGGGTGACATGGGAACTGCAGAGGAGTTAAAAACTGGTAATTTTAAAATGGGTATGCATGCATTAATAGCTTTTTAATGTAATGTTTTTTTTTATGTTTGCTGTTCCTATGATTTGTCACATTTCCGCCATTTACCGATCAGACCAAACTGGTTACATAAACCTTGTTGCCATGAAATATGGTTTTTCCTGTGTGTGTGTGTGTGTGTGTGTGAGATACCTTTTGGTTTATTCCTCTACTGTGCAGGTTGCGTAGGTTTGCACAAAATGTGAGATCTGTGTGCGGGATTCTTCCAGCATAAGGTCCCTCTGGTGCAAGGAGTCCAGGTCACGGAGAGCACAGGGAAACACCGTATCGGGTGGAAAAACAAGCGCAGAGGCCCCTGCATTCCCAAGACAAACTTTCTCATTCTCAAACCCTGGAACATGCACTCACTGAAACAGGAGCTTGATCCTAACTATAAAGTAGTAATGAAGTGCTAAAAGGTGAATGGGTTATGATAATGTACACTGAAATAAAGTCTTATTGAAACATTTACTATTTTGTGTTCATTTGTTCAGAATTTAGAAAAATATGCGGGGACTAACCATGTTTTAAGGTGACTGAACTTTCACACAGCAGAACTGCAATGACTGCATCTTCCTCTAGAACTTGTGTTCTTAGACTGAGTTTAGCATGAGCCTGGGCCAGAGCAATCCTGCCAGAAAATGTCATGTGTATGAAATGGTCATATTTCTACTTGTATGGTGCGCTTCATCTGCATAACTGAAGAGACTTGTGTAATGCAATTAGAATTTTTTTTTTTTTTCTAACAGTTGCCTGTTCCTTAGCTAAATATTACAGTTTTGGAAGAGACTAAATAAACTGACATGGTAATGTAAATGTTTTTTACACAATTTGTTCACAGTCCTTTGAAAACTGCTGAATTGTAGACTTGTTATATAACTGCTCCATCTAGTGGCATAATAAGGCAGCCATATGTAGCTGTCAGTATTTTGTTTTTGAAGAGCTTACAGCAGTTTGACAGAAGTGACCGAAACCGTGGATCTCTGTGTTGAGTCTGAGCGAACCCTGCGACTGGCCATGTAATAGCTGTGGATCATCCTTTCAGCCTCCGGACTCATGTCCACCTTTAGTTCCCTTGCATGAGCCAAGAGCTGGGGAAAAATATTCAAGTTTGGGGGAAAAAGCAGGCTATCTTCATTAGTAACCACATTATGTAAGTTTATTATACAGGTGCATCTCAATAAAATAATGTTGTGGAAAAGTTAATTTATTTCAGTAATTCAACTCAAATTGTGAAACTCGTGTATTAAATTCAATGCACACAGATACTTGTGTGTTCTTCTGTGCCATCTTTGTAGCACAAATTTATTTCTTAAATACTGATTTCATTTGATTGGTAACTTATTCTTATTCTACTTGTTTTTATTCTGTTGTTTTAATTAGAAATGTTAAAAAGCTTATAAACATATTTTTTGATTTTGACATAAAAGATTACATACTTTTAATAAAGTTAGAAAAATGCCATTACAAAGGTAAAAACAAAATTCCCTATAAATCACTTTAAGGAGTCAACTATCACCTCGTAATGGGAAGGTTACTTTTTTTAACAGTTTTTGATTACTGATTAGAAGGTGCTCCTAAATTTTTGACCGTGCTCCTAAATTTTTTTAATTAGGAGCACAAGCGCTCCTAAAAAGAAAAGTATCCGTAGAGCCCTGTCTCCTAAAATAGATGGCATTGTCTCTGGTTCCTGTTCCCAAATACAGAAAGAGGTGGGGTCGTCTGTGAAGCATTCCTGCATTCTTTCTACATCTGATCAGTCCTGTGGTATGTGCTATAAGCTTGTAAAATTCCCAGAATAACATTCCCATCTCATTTCCTGAGGAAAAGCTCCATTTGACTATAAATACAGTTGGATATGAACCCACCACAGAACCCAGCACCACATTATCACATCTGGCTGTCCTCTTGGAGGGGGAAGCAGAATCAGCCAGGGCCCAAAAGTTGCACTGGATTGGGAAGGAGAGCTGCTGGTCCATATCATCACCATATTTCTTGGCAGGAATGAAAACAGACACAGTTCTGCTTTCGAGAGCTGAGAGGAAAAAAATAGGTTTGCTTTCCTTGATTGCTTAAAATGCATGTATAATGTATTTCTTTCTTGTGCCTTCATTATTAGAAATAATTTAAACTGGCACCAGACTGAATCATGTCCATCTTGTCTTTCTTGTAGGTTGCGAGATCTCCCAACAGACAGACACCTCCAGATGCCAGCAAAGCTGAACCTGCATGGATGTTAGCGGTACCAGCTCCATGTTCATCTCTAGACAGAGATGCTGACAGATCTCCTGTCAGTGTATGATGAATGCCACGCGAGGCCAATGGCAGGCTGTATCTCATCAACCTGTGAATAAATATGCACATAATATGCATCATATTTTGATGACCATTATCTAAAGAGACATGTGCATTTGAAAAACCCGGACCTGTCAATGATTAGAGTCTCGCTGGTGAGAGCAAGCACATCCAGTTGGTAGGGAGAGTCTGGATTATCTTCAGTTTGCACCAAACTAAGAAGTAGCCCCAGTTTTAATGTGTTGTAGAGTCCAGGTGGGATCACCGGGGAACCAAATGAGTTGGCTACAATGGCAGCAAACCTCCATGGGGAACAGGCCATGGCTGTCTGAAGGTTCTGGAAGTTGCTGCTAACCAGATGGGGGCCTGTGAAAGGCAGTCAGGAGCAAATGACTTTGACATGCTGTGCATAAGTCTGGTTGTTTTTATACAATCAAAGTCAAAACAAGGCTTTACATTTGGGGGTCCATGGTCGGACGCTGCAAGCCTCTACGCTCCAGGTTACATTGGGCCACTGGTGCACATGAGCTGGAATCCCCACGACTTGGTACAGATGGCCGATTCTCATGGAGTTGCACAGTTCATCTAATTACATTAAGAGAAACAAAACAATGATAGTTGAGAGCAGGTCTTCACTTATTATTTGAGAAACGTTCACCACCTCCACAACTGCCAAGAGAAACACTGCAGGCTCTTTTAAACAATGATTCCACTATGGGTTGTAGCAACTAATGAGTGTAACTTACATTTATTAACATGTATGTTCAGTAACTGGAGCCCGACGTATTGAATTCCAGACTAATACTAGGTCAACACAATATGCTAATACCGTCCAGAGAATCTGTGGTTTCTCCAGTTGGCTAACTGAGAAATATTTTTGAAGGAGACAGGAACACCCAATCTAATACTGAAAGACACTGTGAGTGGATGTGTTTTGGCAGTTTATTATTTGAGAGCTTTGCTCCAACATTATGAAAAACATGTTCATCAGGCATGACGATTCAAACTAACTGGATTATTTCCTAATAGTTAGTTAAAAAGTAAAGATTATTTACAATACCACGAGAAAGAAAAAGGGGTAATTTAAGATGCAAAAAGCATTTACCTCTTAGAAAAAGGGTGACAGATTGATATCTTAAGGAAGCAGCATCATGAACTCCCAAAACATCCACTGCTCTCACATGAATGAGTTCAACTAGCTGTTTATCTGTGGATTAAAAAACATGTCCTGTCTTTTAGTGAGTGTGCAACTGCAATACTAAGCAAAGGTTTTGGGTCAGTACATTTTTTTATTGTCTTTGAAAGAAGTCTTATTTGACCAAAATACAGTAAAAACTATTGTTACAATTAAAATGTTGTCTATTCAAACATTTTATGTAATTAAATATTACATATTATTATTTCTGTGTGTAATCTTTTTTTTTTTTTGGTGGAAACTGTTGGCTTTTTAAAGACGTTTTGATAAGTTCAAAAGAGCAACATTTATTTGAAATATAAATATTTGTAATTGTTGACATTATAATAACAGAAATGTTGATAGTCAACTTTGATGAATTTAAGGCATCCTTGCTGAATGAAAAGTCTTTTAAAAATAATAATTTCATGATTCAGGTTTATACTCCATATAATATTTCATTAATATGTTTTAACTAATGTTGTTGTCTTACCCCCTAAAACCCGAGACTTCACATCCTCTTTCAGCGGAGAAGAGCAGAGAAAGCAGGTAAAATCGCTCCTAACTGTGGCAGACTCTGTGGCACCTGGTGCATGAACTCTGATATGTTGAAACCCTTTGGACAAATTGACAAATTGTGTAGGACAACAATTACAAAAACAGCCCATAAAGTTAATAACATTACCTACCTCTAGAGCAAGGGCATTTCTCTTCTGAGCAGAGAAATCTGGCTCCTTGTGTGTATTTGGTGACACGTGTCATGGCAATTACAAGGCCCTCCAAAGCTAAGGGTCTCATTGGACCATACCCACGGGGAAACTCGGAGAGATCCAAACAATAGTTGGGAAAAGGTGGCAAGTGGGTTGGCTTTAAAACAACATTAACCTATACAGAAAAAAATTTAACTTGTGTTTTTTTCTATTTTAATATACTGATGTGTATCAAAGCAAATTTCAAGTATACCCAAATATATTCTCTCTCTCACACACACATATATGAAAAAATGAAAACAAGTGAAATCTGCAATTAATTAACCTGCACCTTACCTGGTTTTCTGTTTCAATGTGGTCAATAAGTGACAGTGTTTTTATAGACAGATAACAAACCTGAAAAATAATCACTGCATTCTTAGTTGTTTGTTTCAATACAGAGTAGATGTAAATATGTTAAGCACAATAAAATATATCCCTTTTTAACCTTTCCATACATCTCACCAACAGAAAACTGTGGTTGATATGTATTCTAAGCCATTTTAGATAACCAATCGTTGTGTAACAGACTAATAATTTGTGTATTTTTTATCTGTGAAACTCACTGACTGAAAGAGTGAAACGGCTTTGACAGGGTCGTGCAGTATACAGTCTCCCAGTGTGGCGTCCAGTTCAAGCACATCTGAGGGATTTACATCGAAACTGAACCGATACACGGCCCCCGTCTGCTGTCCACCTGAAAGACATGTTTCCCGTTTGTTCAGTGTGTAAACAGTCATTGTCATCTTTTTATTTTAATTTAAATGTAATAATTAAAGTTCAGATGAAAACGGATGTAGACAGTGGACCCCTGACGTGTCACGTCCTCGCGAGCTCCTGTTCACTGAGGTATTTTACTAAACTTACTAATAATGCATCCAACTTCATAAACAAACCTTTAAAGACTTTACAGTCTTCAATGAGTTTATTTAACCCACCACTTCTGTCTAAATAAATGATTATTGCTTCTTTTAGAGAATTTAGCCCATCCATATCTCCGAAATGCACCGCTAGCTCTGTAGTTGGGCGGCGGGAAGCTCGCGCTATACAATATGCAAATGAGATGTATCACGTGTTAGTCAAATCAGCGCAAAGTGGAATGTGTTAACCTCCAACAAGGTGTCTAAAACCTGTAAATAAAAACTTTAAGGCGGTGCAGAATTCAATGAGTTTAGGTAACCCACACGTCAAATATTTACATATTTTATTATCTCTTTCTTTAGGAAAATACACATATGGGCGGGAAGCTCGTGCTCATAATATATGCAAATGAGATGTATCCTGTGAACAAACATTTTATTATTCAATGAGTTTGGGAACGCACCACATCTATTAAAAAACATTATTATCATATTGTTCTATAAAATGTACTTTCGCAGCTTGGTAACTGGGCACGAAGCTCTGGCCCAGTAGCATAACACATGCAAATATATGCAAATGAGAAGCATCACGCGACAGCCAAGTAATTCAAGAATGTTTACTTGTACAGTACAGTATCATAAGTCAGTAGGCACTGTGGTGTCTCATCTCATAATCAAAATGCGGGAAATGAAACTGGTTTATTACAGGGTCATTGTGAGTATTTCAGTGCTATTAACTCATTAAAATCTAACACGAAAACAATTGATTTCGAAACAGCTTCTGCCTATTTTCTAACTCATATATATTAAACAGTATAAATGGAATATATATTAATTTGTCAATCAGCAATTTTTTTTATTGCTTGCGTTGACATTATATGAACATTTTTTCCATAGCTAATTTCTGATAAGAGACTAAACTACAAGAACATAATTGGTCATATACTGCACAGTATTTAAGCAATCAAGTGTAAGAGTTGGGGCAAAACAAGGAATGTGTCAAAGTAGATATTTTGTTTACAAATATCATCAGCCCTTGAAAATAATTCTTACGAAAAAGAAAAAAAAACATCAATACTTCAGCTCCTGAGCTAAACTCTCAGGGAAGGCGTTCAATGTTATACAAAATATAATGTTATTTATGCATAAAAATAAAGTTTGAAACACCCTGCATCCCAAAACCTATGTTAGGAAACACAAAGGTCCACCCTCTGATCGTGACATTGCGCTCAACAAATTCTTCCCTTTCATCAGAGAGAGATCGATCACAGATGTTTCATTCAGCTCTCTGTGGATCGCCATTAACAGCACCACCCTTACAGGAAAGAATCTTCTGACGGCGGAGCGTAAGAAAATCCCAGGAAGGCATCATCAGCTTCCATAACACTAGCATTGACGATTGACTGCCCTGAAGAGAAGCACACAGAGTTTGGCACGGTTTCCTCTGTGAACTCAGGATCAAAGTTTGAGATGTCATACTGGGATTCCTGCAAGACAACATAAGAGAGATGACTGTTTGAATACACTTATGCATATGTTTTTTGAAACTTAAGCAAAATAGTTATTGTTAAAGGGATAGTTTCCCCAAAAAAACGAAAATTTGCTGAAAACATCAAAAATTAGTTTTTTTTTTTTTTTTTTACAGATTTGGAGAAATTTTGCATTACATCACTTGCTCACCAATGGATTCTCGGCAGTGAATGGGTGCCGTCAGAATGAGAATCCAAACAGCTGATAAAAACAGCATATTAATCCACAAATAAATGTCTTCAGTCCATTAGTTAATGTCTTGTGTTTCTAAGAAACAAATCCATCATTAAGGCATTTTAACATTAAACTGACACTTCTGGCTAAAATATGAGACCAAAATAACGCTCCCTCTAGTGAAAAAAAAATCCATCCACTGTTGTCCTCTCACATCAAAATCTAGTGACATTTAGAACGGTTTTGGGCTATTTTCATTTACTAAATGGTGCATGATCTGTGTATAGTTCTCCCCTAATTTAGAAGAGACGACGTCTTCACTGGAGAAAACAATATTATGGATAGACACGTATTTTTAGGTTTGAAGTTAAAAAGGTCTTGATGGATTTCTTTCTTACAAATGGACAGCTTTTCACTTCACAAGACATTAACTGATGGACTGGAATCATGTGGATTACTTTAGATCATTGTGATGTTTTTGTCAGCTGTTTGGATTCTCATTCTGACGGCACCCATTCAGAGGCTCCATTGGTGAGGAAGTGATGTAATGCCAAATTTCCCCAAATCTGTTCCGATGAAGAAACAAACTAATCTATATCTTGGATTTCCTGAGGGTGAGTATATCAGCAACTTTTCATTTATGGTTGAACTAAGTCTTACCACACTAGGGTTGAATGGAGGAGGAAGCTTTTTCTGTTCAAGGTCATCCCAGTTAATTGTTGAGAAAAATTCATGTTCTTTGACTTCATTCTGCAACAAATGGAACATACAAGGACTTTTTAATATTCCAAGATATTTTCAATTCAACACTCCCTGCTTGAATGTAATATATTATAGGAAACTAATCTGCAGAAATCCTTTTGAGATGCTACTGTAATATTCTACAAAATCATCCACCAGGGGGTGATATATCAGTACTAAATAACTTACAAAGTCATCTCTGTAGCCAAGCCTCCTGGTGTGGTCTTTCTCCAGCAGGGCCTGAAGGATGAACCAGGCAGCTGTGGATGCCCCGGGGCGCATGACAAGTTCCTTGTGAAGAATGTTGTCATACATCTCATGTGTGTCCCTGCTGTAGAATGGAGGCTGTTGACATAAAGGTAAAACCAGATTTAAGCTTCATTGCCTACATTTCCAAAGACAACTACCCAAATTTACGGTTGATTTGTAACTTACCAGCCCATAAAGCATTTCATACAGCACAGAACCCAGACACCACCAGTCCACAGTGTTATCATAGGGTTGTTTCCTGAGTACCTCTGGAGCTAGATACTATCGTGACAACAAGAGAAAGCAATTATTGCGTTAAAATCTTTGTTTTACTCTAACCTCCAAAAGCTTAATGTTTATTTGCAGTTAATTTGCTGAAAATGTAATGAGGTTAATCTAGAAAAGCGCAATGAGCAAATCAGTAACAATTTAAAGCTGCAGTCCAACTTTTTTTGGTTAAAAATGATCCGAAATCAATATTTGAGCAAGTACATAACTAGCCAGTGTTCGAAACTATTGCCTTACTTTAGCCCAATTCACAACGGTTAGCTTATAATAATGTTTTCTAATTTGAGTGGTACGGGTAGGATTTCGCGGGAAATTCGAGCATGCCGCTGTGTCATTACGTCACTTCTGTAAACATAAAGAAGTTGTCCCGGCTACTAGGCTATCGCATGTGAGGATCCTGCAGGTGGCCGGTCGGTTATAGCCTTTTCTCACAGCAGCTGGAATAATTAAATGTATCATTTTGATGGCGGATTTTAATCCAGAAAGGATTATGTGTTTATGAAACACATGTGAATGAAATTAAATTATATTCCAGTTTTAAATGTGCTTCTGATTACAGATAGCCTGGGATTACACAAAATTTGTATTTTAAAGACAACCAGTTCGAAGGGAGCATAATTTGCTTTTTGGGTTAAAAATGTCTTAATATGAAATTCCAGTGGTATGACAATTAGAGATTAGACTGTACAGAAATTGAAATCTACTCGCTTATACACACACTATATAGTCACGCAATGCTGATGTTGTTAACATTAACAATTTGAGAATAAAGTATAACAATAATAATTTACACGTTTTGATATGATATGAGCTCATTTAGATTAAATCACCATTGGTAGTGTGATTTATTGTAATGCTTTTTTCCTCAGTTGGTCAGAACAAACGTGGCAGACTTGTTACTTACTTGTTCAGATGACAATATCCGGTGAAAATGCTTATTTGAGTCATAAATTTCAAGACGTAGGCTAGAATCTGTGAGTGCAAAGTACAATATCCACAGTAAGCCGGTGACTTACTGCCACACATACTCCAAAACATTAGATTCATCCGCGCTGGAGCTGTGCCGCCACACAACCCACGCAAGGAAGATAATTTTGCACACAGCTGCAATTGCAGGTTTTCAAACAGAGATGGCGACAAAGAGGCAAAACTTACGGACTGCAGCTTTAATAATGTTGTTAACATTAACAATTTGAGAATAAAGTATAACAATAATAATTTACACGTTTTGATATGATATGAGCTCATTTAGATTAAATCACCATTGGTAGTGTGATTTATTGTAATGCTTTTTTCCTCAGTTGGTCAGAACAAACGTGGCAGACTTGTTACTTACTTGTTCAGATGACAATATCCGGTGAAAATGCTTATTTGAGTCATAAATTTCAAGACGTAGGCTAGAATCTGTGAGTGCAAAGTACAATATCCACAGTAAGCCGGTGACTTACTGCCACACATACTCCAAAACATTAGATTCATCCGCGCTGGAGCTGTGCCGCCACACAACCCACGCAAGGAAGATAATTTTGCACACAGCTGCAATTGCAGGTTTTCAAACAGAGATGGCGACAAAGAGGCAAAACTTACGGACTGCAGCTTTAATAATAAGAGTCACGATAAGTAGTTAGTTTTAAATTCAACAACTAATTAAACAAAACTGTAGCGTCTGGACCACTCAAACACACAATATATATTGTTAGCTAGATTTAACAAATACTCTGTAACAACCCAGGAAGCCGAACAGACCCCTGGTTCCATGGCAACCCTGACACCCGATACATTTACGACCTCCTGGAATTTAGGTGAAGAAAATCGCTTCCTTGCCCATAAGGAAAATCCACAAGGGAAGGACTTTTCTTTGCTAATTAATTAATAGGAAAACCTTTCTTTGAATGAAC